CTGGGATTTTCCTTTCGGGCTCCATTTCTGAGATGAAGGTAGTCTGTGGCTTTCTGGAAGATGCAGCGGTCCCTCATCTGGTTCCCACATAACGGGTTTAGGTGTGTTCTGTAGGCAAGTGCCTAGTGCAACCTTGGGAAACTCTGCTTTTTCAGAATTTTGATCAATTCTTTTCTTTTCAAACTCAACTACACCCTTAACCTAAAAGGCTATCTGGTGACCCTAATTCATAGCTCTTTTCAAGATTTCTAGAATATGAGTATGCCTAATTTTATCTTTACACTAACCAGTGTGATTTAAGATTTCTTCAGTATGTGAAGCAGGGACCATTTCTTGATTTGATTCTTCAAAATTGTTTTCCTGCCATCTACTCTCCTATTCTATATTAATATGTGACCTTTATATAGTTGTTTATGTTTATTGCCTTTTCTATTGTTTTAGGTGGGGACAGGAAGAATGCATAGGTTGAAAACAGTATGCTTAAGTAGAATGAAAGTTACACCTCATAAACATAATGGTATTAATTTTTAGACTCTTTGAAGCTATTTCTCACCAGAAAAAGCATTGTACTTTATTAGGTTTTGAAAGGAAATATTGGTACAAATGAAGAGATCAAATTTGAAAAAAAAATTGAAATCACTATATGTGATCTAAAATCTACTAGGCTGTAAATGTACATTTATTATAAAATTACATCTCATAGAGCTCTTGAAGTGCTTTTACAATTCTTAAAAATTAAAATATTAGGACCTATAAATAGAAGAACACTGATATTATAATTTCTCAAACTGTATTCATGATCGAAATACTACACTTGATCTTAGCCAAAATGCAGAGAAGTGATTCATGATTAAAATACTATGACATGTGCAACTGATAGTTTTTTTATATAATCTATATAGTCTGATTTTTTTCTACTTTATAAAGGTTTCAGAAAATTAGCTGGAAAAATTACTTTTAAAAAGTCATAAACCTGGGCCGGGGATTTAGCTCAGTGGTTCCGGCACCTGCCTCGCAAGAGCAAGGTTCCTAGTTCGATCCCCGGTACCAAAAAAAAAAAAAAAGTCATAAACCTAAATAAATAAAGTTGAAGGCTCAGGTTCCTCTACACGGCTTTCAAAGTCTCTCTCTTATATACAAGCAGATCTCAGTGTCCTTAGACATTGGCCCAAGATTTCTCAATTAAACCCACACAGGAAAGGATGTTGTAATGTTCCTTCCAGAACTCTTTAAGGGTTAAATCTATATCTGAGACCATCTGAAAGCACAAGTGGTCACCATTTGGGTCGTGAATCAAGACTTTGATTATAAGTTAAAACTAAAATTCTGGTCATAACCCAAGTTGTTTGTATGTGAGGCTGGTTGTAACTCCAGAGTCCACTGAACACCCAACTACAGATATTACAAAGTATCTACCTTTAAAAAGTTATCCCATTTTATATCAGGAACTAATTACAGCAAGTTCCTCTTCTAGAACCAAATTTCCTCATCAAGATAATGAGTAGTTAGCATTAAATTTTATTTTAAGTAGCTTTTAGCTCTAAAAAGCTTAAGATCAGAACATGAGATTTAATGAGAGATATCCATTTTCACTATTATAAAAACACTACAAGAATACTGATGGTATAACACTAAAACATATGTTATATATTAATTAAGACATTAATATAGGGTAATTTGTAGAGAGAATTTATCACAAAGGATTCAAGGCCAAATTCTAACATTATTATCATCTTATTCTTGTTATTAAATCCAACTTATAGTCTGACTCAGTTTGCTGTTATACATATAACCCTTACTGTAGATTTGTTTGGTAGGTTGTATTTCCTATTCTATGCTAATCAATGTATTCCAGGTTCTACAGCTGTTGATATCAGATCCCATGGGGGACCAGTTTAAACAAAGTAACAGAAATCCACAGTGAAGGTGATAACTCTAAAGCCATGGTGTGAAACAGAAAAACTGGTCTTATTCATCATTTCCTAAAATAGTTAAAGCATAGTAACTAAAATAAAGTTATTCACTTTTTATAGTGTTTAAGATGATTATCCATTCAACCAACCAAGCAGTCCAATATCAAATCAAAGTCCAAGCAGAGATACGTTCTATGAACTATAATCCAATTTAGACACCAAATTTTCCAAATTTAAACATAGCATTAATATGTTAGTCATGGTCTGATTAATAATGCAAGAAAATGTTTTAAATTATAAATATGCTTCAACCTAAAAACACTGGTCTTTAGTCAAAGTTATATTTAGAGCACAAGGATTCTTCAAGGAGGTCTAGTTGTCTCTACTGTGAAGTATTCTTATCAGTCAAATCATGCTTAACAATCTGCAATCTAAAGAAATTTATTTATTTGAGCCTTCATGAATTGGTGTTATTGTGTAAAAAATATGTCTGGATCCCCATATTAGAAAGATCCTCACTGGAGCTGCAGGGATACTCTGGAAAATTCATATTGGAGAAAGGTCACATTTACTCATACAGTCTAAAATTTAACATGATATTTTCTCAAATAACGTAATTGTAGATAGCTTTCCAATAAATGCTAGCCTCCAAAAAAGTACTGAAAATAGTAATGAAATACGGTATCATCACAGTGACATCTCATGAACATAACACAAAATAAGATGTTTGTCAAGATCAAGTTGAAAACCTTTGCGGAAAAGGCTCTAGGAACAGAGAAGGTAACAGAGCTAGCATCCTCAGGTGGGGCTGCATGGGGGAAGAGAAAAGTTTTAAGCACCAAAGGGGATAGGGAAATAGAGTAAACAGGGTTTTCATTCCAGTAAGTTGAGCAGTGTGAGTTACTGAGGTACAATGCAGTCTAAACAACCGGGATGAAGATCCAAAAGAGTAGGAAGATGCAGTACTCACAAAGCTTTATAGCCAAGAAACAGACAATTTTTGAAATTTCTGGAATGTGATTTTCTTCCTTTGTATTTGAATTTTATCTCGGCATTACATTTTTTATTACTATCAAGCCTATTTTGGTAGCAATTCAGGTTACAATCTCTTATTCAAAACTTGTGGGGAATGTATTTTAGATGTCTTTAGACTTTAGAAAGACAATACAGCAGATATACCATTTCTATATAACCTGCCCAGCAGGTTAGGTGGCTTTATTCTGTAATCAGACACATTTTCTCAGCAAAGCATGAAATTACTCAGGCAAAGTAGAGTAAATAAAGAGTATATCTTTTCTATCTTTCTCTTGAAGTTGTTTCCACTTATATTTTACTATCAAACTATCACATCTGGTTTTCCTAACAAAAGTTAGCAAAACCAAAGAAGAACTGCCTATTCATTTTTAGATGTTTAGATTATAAAATTGGTTTCAAGGTATTGAAGCTATATATTCTAAAACTGAATGGCCCAAGCTACAATAACAAAAAAAAAAAATCAGAGGCATATACTGTAGAAATTTATATCACTGAAATGATTCATTCAACCACACTTAGTTTAATTTAAAATTATATATGAAGAAAATCACTGGAAATATATGGAGGCCAAGGACTTCCCCATGGCTGCGATTCATACAGAAATGCCATGGGCACTCATGTGACAGGGACAGAGTGGCACACGCGTTGACAGTACCCAAATTGTCCTGGGATGAGGGGGCAGGCCTGAGGCACTGGAAAATGGAGAGAACAGAGGGAACAAAGTATCTGAATGTGGAGGCTGAGTCACAAATGCCACTCTGTCACCCACTGCCGCCTCACCTCAATAACTAAAGGAAACTCGCTGGATGATCTGATGTGTAGACTGTGTATAACTCCAATCCCCTTCCTAAGTACTCAGCACATGTCCTGCACAGAAAGAAATAGGAACGAAAAGGGAAACAGGCAGAAAAACAAACTTGTCACTTGTTCCCTACATCTGCATTACTTTTCTAAGGAGAGGAAAAATACCCCCTTAAAAGAGACTTAAAACTAAAGGAATGTCTTAAAAAACACTAATAGGAAAGGTGGTGTGTACACCCAAGGGATTAGTATTCAGTGTTAAAGGAGGATGAAGCCATGTTATTGTCAGGAAAATGGACAGAACTGTCATGTTAAGTGAAACAACCCACAATCAGAGAGACAAATATTGCATGCTTTCTCTCCTATGTGGAATCTTTAACAAAATTAAAGTAGATTGGGTAAAAGTAGAAGAGAAGAGGAAGGGTGTTGGGGGGAGAGGGGTGGAAAATAAGGAGGGCAATTGGGGATTTAAAAGACTAAAGTATGTTATATGTACCTTTCAACATGCCAAACAGTCTGCCCTATTCTGTAGAATTAACAGGTGCTGATCAAAAAAAAACCCAGAGACAATAGATACATACACCCATGCAAAAGACCAAACTGAATGTAGTCCTTGATTTGGTGGCAAAAGAAGCAAGAAGATCAAGAAGAATTTGAATATGATTAACAAGAATGAAATGTAGGAAAATGCAAGCCGGAACAACAGCAACAACAGGTCAAGCAATCCTTTCTAGGTGGCATCATGTGGCACAGGTTTGGTGCTGACTGCATTTATCAGGGTTGGATCAAAGACAGACTCTACGCAGAGACTTTGGTCATTTACAAGCCAATTCGGGTTAAGTTTTCTTACGTATTTGCTGTGCATTTAAAAATAGAGAAGTGTAGCTGTAATTATACATCGGTAACACAAACTAACACAACTAAGAGTACATATACATGATGCTTTCGTCACAAAAATAGAAAGGAAAAAAATATATATCAAACATTATGCTATTGGTGGAATTATAGTCTTAATAGTAATCTTAATATCCATGGGTTTCTACATGTTCTATAATAATACATAATTTCATCATAAAATACGAAAATTTCTAATGACGATTTCTTTCCTCAGAAATGTATTAACATAGCTATGATTATCTGATGCATTTTTTCATTCTCCACGGGAGAGAACTCTATTACTTTTCAGAAAATCATAGTTGGACCGAAGAAACCCATGTTAGGCTGCATCAAATTCCGGGGAACTTTACTTACAGTACACATCCACTCGGATTGACTTTATCGCGGGGGACCCCAGGCCATTCTCGGCTTTACAGTAGTACCGGCCTCCTTGGTGTCGCTGAATGTTTGTAATCCTTAGCGTCTCATTGAAGACACTGGAGTCTTGGAATCTGTCAGAGGCACTTCCTGCTGTTTTGGTCCACCTGATCTGAGCAAACATCGACAGAGATTGTTACTTTAGTTTGGTTTCCCCACCAAAAAAAAAAAAAAATCAAATAGTAGTTACTTATTTGAAGTTTGCATTCCGAGCTGCTACATTGCCTTTCCAATCAAATTACTAACAACTTTTCTAGAAATATTATATGCCTAATTGAATTATAGGAGTTTAATTGAAACATCATCATTATATAGTACCTGTAATTCAGCTTCATTTGCATGGGATTCATCAATAGATTGATCGGTATGTACGCTAACATAAAGTCTAACAGAGAGGGAGTTAAATATCCACAGTAAGTACCCTAGAAATATGGATTCTCTTTTCTTTGTTAAGCATTTGAAATTGTCTTTCACATTTTCCAAACTTTGCAAGATATTTTGTGCTCTAGGTAGACTCTCATTTCTTTTTGGACATGTTTCATTATTTTATTTTAAATTTCCGACTTGATTTGGATACTTCAGTCATATTATCATAATAGCTTATTGAGATTATGTATAATTGTATACACCTGGTTTTTCAAAGAGTTTTTTTTCTTTAATAGCTTTGCTTTAATAAGCCTACAAATGATTTGCCTATTTTGATAATTAGAATGTACTTTACATCAATAATTATTTTCAGAAAAATGTGTAAACTTTTTCAAGGAGAATGTTTCCATTAAACTGCCAAAACACTTTCACTATCTAAAACATTTCATTATAAACAATGCCATTCTTTTAAACACAGCTGTGTGCCAATGATTTCATTTTGCTAGCAATAATGACTGGCATTCAACTTAAATTTTGTGTATTTTAGTTTTTAAAAAACCTGAATAAAAGCTACAGGCTGATACTGTAAAGAGATATAAAACAGCAAGTAAAAAGGATTTGGTTTTACGTCTCTCCTCCTAATTGTATATTTTTAACTTTTATTTTGAAATTGAGAAACAGCTAATAAATTCTTCTGGTCAAATATACATGATAAAACATGGAAAATGAAACTAATGTCTGAAATCCTATAATACTGCTATTATCAATATGTCTTCATGAAATGTGAATTAAGATTTATGTTCTACTGACATTTAATCTTTAAAAAGTTATCCATATCATTAAAATATCAGTATGAATATATTCATGTTTCTCTTTAATTGTAAATTAAAATGTTCCTTAGACATCAATAAACAAAAAGCAATATTAAATGTTTAATCAACACTTCCTATGTATATATAATATACAAAAGAGTAAAGTGGCACACTTCTTGCTTTCAAGTAGTCTATAAATTCATCAGCTATATGTCTATAAAAGTAAAATGTATAACAAAGGCAATGTGTGTTTTTTAAACTTCGGTTTTTGTTTGTTTGTTTGTTTGTGATACTGGGGATTGAACCCAGGGCTTTCTCATTGAGCTACATCCTCAGCCCACTATTGAAAAAAGTTTTTTGAGACAGGGTCTCCCTAAGAGTCCTGGGATCACAGGTGTGCACTGTCACAATGGTAATGAGCTGAAGTTAGTAATATTTCCTTTATAAAATCTACAGTTCTATTTTCACTTAAATTTCAAAATCTACAAGTACAGAAATAAAGACTATTTAAAGAAATAAAAGACATATTTTTGTACAGAGAGATTTTAATTCCCTTTAAGAAAATATATCTCAGCTATAATCTAAGTTTAATCATGATTCCAATTAAGGTATCATGTTTTCTTTCAATATCACAATATAATACAGAAGTATTACTTGGAAAAAGAAGATTTGGAAAAAGAAGCATTTCAGAATATAAAAATAGGTCCCGGAAAAAGAGTTATCAGAATAACCTAATCCTTCCAAATATGGAAATTATGTTATTAATACAAAGTGATTCAGTAAGAGGGGAGGAGGATAAGGTGTACAGAGAGAGAGACTGAGAGACAGAGAAACAGAGAAAGAGAGACTATGACACAAACCAACATTTATAAGCTTTTGGCCAAAGCACATCTTTATATTCTACAAAATTAGCGAGGACCTCAAATGTTTTTTTGTTTATTTGGATTACATTTATTCATAATTATGGCTTTAGAAGTTAAAACAACATGTTAAAGTATGTATTATCTTACTTTATATTATAAAAATAAGTGTATGGCATTTTAACATTAGTAACATTTTGAATCAGAAAAATATATTTTCCACTATGAAAATAAAAAAGAGTGGCATTGATTTATAGTTCTGTATATCTCTTTAATATCTAGTTTAGGGCAACAGTGCTAGGTGGATTATTATATCATTTTCTGCATGCAAGCATTGTATTATGTTGCTTTGTTTGCAATACATGAAGGAAATCTAGTCCCATGTTGATATTTAGTCAGAAAGGGAGAATATTTCAACAGCTTTTTCATGTAATTGCACATGAAAGAGATTGAAAGAGATTAAAACTGTACAAGGTCATTACTAAAATGTTCCTTTGGAAAGTATAATCTAAAACATGAACAACATGTCTATATTCAGTTACATCAAAACTCATTGGTGTGTTTTGCTCTTTGAACTGATTTTTTTATCATGAATGATTTTGTAACATCATGAATTCATTATATGGAAAACAAATTCATTGAATTAAGCAAATTTACCAAATGTTCACACACAGCATTATATATGTTGCATATGTTTACATGTATGTATAGACATGATATAGATATAGATATAAAATCACAATTAATCTCACCACCAACCTCTTCAGAAGAGTGTGTAAATTATGAGATGTCATTGTGCTTACATGGGAAAATTTTTTCAAATTCTATGTTTCATTTTAAAAACATGAATTAGTAATTAATAATAAATAATGTCAAGCAGCTTCCTGGCTCATTTCATTCATTTTTGAGAAAAATATTTATCAGTGCCCATGGAGTATATTTTGCCTAAAAGCTATATTCAATACAAAGGTGGTTAGTTTAGCAAAAAACTCTACTACACAAGTCTTTTTCTTTCAGAGAATCTTGGTACTTTAATAAGTAATAGAAATATTTTGTAGATAATTTCTATCTTGTCAATAAAACATTAAAAACTTTCAAGCTGTGGGCCAAGTGTGGTAGCACATGCTTGTAATGCCAGCACATGGGAAACTGAGGCAGGAGGATCGCTGTGGGTTCCAGGCCAGCCTGGGCTGCATAGTGAGGTCAAGCACAGGGTGAACTACATAGTAAAACCCTGTCTCAAAAATGAATGAACAAACAAAAGTTGAAGCTTCAAGAATTGAAGAATTGATCATTCTTACTGAATAATCAAAGGTAGTAATATTGATTTTTTTTGAGTGCATGGTAGTGAAGAATACAAAGGTTTGTTTTTGTTTTTTTTTACAAATTTCAGTCTGTTTAAACTTTAATTTGTGCATTTGTGGTAATTTATGACTACAAAATATACTTCTTATAATGACGAATAGGCACATTTCATTTGAATGCACAGTGTACCATTCTAAAATATCCTAATTTCCTAACAAAGTGCTTGAGCAGTCACATACACATATAGTAATAGCAAAATATATTTACACTCTTAAAATTTGCAATCTGATGAAAATATATATATATACTTTAAACTACAGAAAAAATTAGTGCTTAGAATGACAAATAGGCACATTTCATTTGAATGCATAGTGTACCATTCTAAAATATCCTAATTTCCTAACAAAGTGCTTGAGCAGTCACATACACATACAGTAATAGCAAAATATATTTACACTCTTAAAATTTGCAATCTGATGAAAATATATATATATACTTTAAACTACAGAAAAAATTAGTGCTTTCTTCAGCTTAATTATGAGAATATACCCTGCCATCTAATTTTTTTACTGATTGACTTCAATTAAAAAATTGGTGTACACTGTGTAGTTAGTTATAAAATGCATGTCAGTTTTTAAAATGCTAAAAGCCCATTTTAGACATTGCTTTCCAGGCATATTTGAGAACCAGACAGGTGAGCAGGCTGCACCACAAAAGTATTTAGTTTTTATTTTAAAGCTATTAATGATGTTTAAATTAAAACTAGAAAATTATGCTTAGGTCTCTTACTGTCTTTTCCCAAGGAAGTTTAACTGCCATTTAAAAATAACTTTAACCCCACCAGCACACAGGAGGTGAGCCACTCCAGGGCACAAAGGGAAGCTTCCTGGCCACTGTACCACCCCCTGCCAGCACACAGGAGGTGAACAGAGCAGGCACCATCAGCACACACACACCCCCCATCAAAATGGGAAGACACATAAACAAGTTTCAAAACCAGACTTCCAGATCACCTACAGCAACTCCAAAGGGAAACAACAGGGAACACTCTGATACTCAACCACCTGGACTCCCTGAACTGGCAACAAAGGAGGATCTGGAAAAAATGAAATCAGAAATAATTTCTCAGATAACAGCAGAGATTGTCCTCATAGTGCAAGACATGATTAATAAATCTATAATGGAGCTTAGGAAAATGATGGAATCCCAATATAGGAAACAAATGGAATCCATGTAACAGATGCAAACAGATTTCCAAGAGATTAAAAACTCCATTGAAAGTCTACGCAGCAGAATGAGCCAATGTGAAGACAGAATTTCAGATATAGAAGATAAGATTGCAATTAATGACCAGGAAAAGAAAAATTTCTTTAAAATTGTAAGGGAGCATGAGAAATCAATCCAGCAGCTGCTAGACGATACAAAGAAGAATAACACAAGA